CCGAATACCATCAACTTTTATCGTTATTCAACTTTAAAAAACCGAAAACGGGCGTCCTGCCCTTTAAATTGAGGGCGAATAGCGCAGGTTTCGGCTCTACGATACGCGGGAACTACGCGCTCGATCGGCGCCATTTTGGTCTTGTTTGAAAGAACGCGTTTTCAGCTGTTTTTTTTTATTCAGTAAGCAACATTGAGCGTTTCCCCGGCTCGAAAAACGGGGCCTCAAAGACGAAGAGCCGCGCTCACTGCCATTGGCTAAACGGCGCACGTGACTGAAATGGCGCTTTCCGGTTGGCTGGAAGCTCGCGGCTTGCGCCTGCATACGCGACCCGACGCCATTTTGAAAGGGTTACCGCTGTGACGCCTCGAAATCGGCAGAGCACTCTGAAGCTTCTGATCGTATCGCCATGCCTGGAAACGCAAAAAAGTATCGGACCGTGCACGCATTTGGTCGCAGGAAACGCAAAGGTCGTGGGAGAAAGTCTACGAAGTCATCAGAGCCCTTGGTTGACTCCGACGAACGATGTGTCGACGCTCCGCGGCCGTTCAGCGATGGTGCGACCGAGTGCGTTGCCTCCGACGACGATGACGGTGAAGCGAACTCCGGACGACTACGAATCGACGCCAAGGTGGTGACAAACGCCGAAGTTGAAGAAAATCATGCCCGGGAGAAAGCGACGCTCGACCGGCTTTCATCGGCGCCAGCAACTGCACGGAAAATTGACTTTTTCACCGCGAGTTGTAGCGAGGCAACCGCACGGGACTCGGACCACGCTGCTCCTTATCTGCTTATGCATCTAGATATCCTAAACGCGATAATGGGTGCCTTGTGTTGCAAAGCCTGCCACGGACCGGCTACGATCGTCAGAGGGGATCGGGACTACGGACTTGCCGTGAAAGTGCTAGTGCAGTGTGAAAGGTGCGGCGAGATCGCGAATGAATGGACTTCGCCCCGCGCGAACGGCACGAAAAAGTGCAATCCGTTTGAAGTAAATCTTCTCGCTTCGAGGGCGATGATGGCTACCGGCAACGGCCAAACGAAAATGAACGATATTTTCGCAACAATGGGCATCTCACACCGCGGTATGCACCACAAGACGTTTCAGCGGCATTTGAAGAACACGCTGGCACCCGCTGCAACGCGAGCGGCTGAGTCCGCTATGAGCGAATGTGCGGAAAAGGTTAGAACAACTTATGATGACTTGTGCTTCGGCCACCGGGGCAATATTGCCGTTAGCTACGACGGCACGTGGAAGACGCGAGGCCATTCTTCCCACATCGGCGTGGGCACAGTTATCGAATTATTTAGTGGCTACGTGCTGGACTACGTCGTTCTTTCCAACTTTTGCCTAGGCTGCGAGGTGGGCCCAAAGCCTAGTAGTGAGGGCTATCAAGAATGGAAGGCTAACCACAAATGCCAAAAAAATACGAACAGCAAAGCGGGGCAAATGGAAGTGGAGGCGGCTCTAATTCTATTTCAGAGGTCGCTTGAACGCCATGGCCTGCGCTACACAACTATGCTGTCTGATGGAGACTCGGACATTTTGCGCCATACAAGACGCCAAGGTGTATGGTTACATTGACGTGCAGAAGGAAGACTGTATTAATCATGTACAGAAACGGATGGGCACCGCATTGAGAAACCTGGTGCAGAAACAAAAGTGCGATGGGAAAAGAGGCCTTGGTGGGAAAGGCAGGCTCACAGGTGAGCTGATCACCAGGCTGAGCACATATTATGGCCGGGCTCTGAAATCGCATCAAGGTGACGTGGGCGAGATGCAAAAGGCTGTGATGGCCACATACCGCCACGTCACCTCCACTGATGAATGGTCGGACCACAGTCTGTGCCCAGCTGGTGAAACTTCATGGTGTCGGCACAATGCCACAAAAGCAAAGGGTGAGCCCGACCCCAGGCATGCCTACAATCTACCGAAAGACGTGGCAGAGGCATTACTACCGGTTTATACCCGGCTTTCGGAAAGAGCCCTGCTTCAGAGGTGCGAACGCGGCAAAACGCAGAACTCCAACGAGAGCCTACATTCGGTAATCTGGAGTTTGGCCCCCAAGGAGCACCATGCGTCCCTGTTCGCTGTTGAAGCAGCTGTTGCAGAAGCAGTGCTGCGCTTCAATACGGGCAATTTGAATTCTGCAACGGCAATCTTAGGTGAAATGGACATGAATGCGACAAGTACTGGTGCCAGGAGAGCGAGAGAAAAAGACCACCGTCGCAGCATTGTCTCCAACAAGAAAAGAACAGCCTCATTGGAACTCCGGAAGCTAGTGAAGAGGAGGCATGAGCACAGAATGCATTCAGACTATGCTTCTGGTGCGTTTTGAGGTTGTCTTGTTGCATCTTCTGCAATAAAAATGTGTGCCCACGTTTTTTCTCGATTTCTCAAACGACAATTTTCATGTGCTTCCCATTATGCCGGAGCAATATCTCTTCTTCTATCTGGGTTATCATTACGATTTCTTTTTTGTTTCGAAGATAAATGCAGGGGATGTGTCGTAAAGTAAGTTTTATTGTAATAATTTTTGGAGAAAATTCTCTAAATGGATCTTTTGTTTCAAGTGTAGATGGGGAAATTTTTCATGTCATATTCAACATCCCACAACTTTGCTTCGAAATAGCCCAGAACAATGATTTATACTTTATTGCACACTGTGAACATGCCGAATTGGTTCTATAGGTTGCACATCAATATCCAAGTTACAGTTAATTAGCTAATTAGGCCTTAATTGAAAAAGTCGCAGTTCATTATATCTTTAAAACTAATTGTCACAGCAAAAAAAGAATTAGATTTTTGAAATCAGCAGTAAAATCTACATAGGCTCTCCAAATTTGACTGAGATACTCGCAAAAATAAAAGAGTTTTTGGAAGGTGTAGCATCCCCCCTTAAGGGGAGATGCACGTCGAAAAATCGCGTTTTTCGCGGAATTTTTCAGTTTTTAGATTTTACCAGTAAAATTATCTTTGTATATTCAGCTACAACTCCGCAAAATATCAAGGCAAAATTCGAACGAGAAGTTAGTAAAAATTCTATTTTATTCAGCCACGGTGGCTCGAGAAAGTGCTAGTTTCGTCGCAAATCAGCAACTTTCGATCGTCTTCATCTCGAGAATGCGGCGTCTCCCGCCATTGCTGTTTGCTTGGAGAGGTTGAGAAAGCCTTCGTTTAGCCTACAGCACCTCCCTCAGTTTCGCATTTTGGCCCAAAATAATAAAAAAAAAGGCACGTTTTGGCGCCTGTTTCAAGCGTTTCTACTGGACATTTAAATCACGTGGTGCTCTAGCGAGGCCGTCATTGGCCTACACGGAGACGTTGCTGCGGCGAAGCACCGAAGCCTGCATCCGTCCTCGACTGTGTACGGCGACTCGATCGAACTCTGCGGGCCTTTTCCCGAGTTTTTTCAGTTATTTCGTAATGAACGAACCGAAAAAGCACGATTTCCGAGCTAGGAAGGCTCGGGCGAAGATCCTGTACCGAGTGCGGCGTCGCAAACCTCTACGGAAAGTGACAGCGGGAAGCAGCCGCCCGACGCCTCCGGCTAGCCCTAACCAGCACAACGCCCACTTGGACGAAATTGACGCCGCGCTGAACTTTGTGAGCGCTTCGGAGGTGAATATTGGACTCTTCGAGAACGATAGAGCAGCAAGCGATCGGAACTCTGCGAGTGCTGTGATATGCGATATCAGTGCGCTTACGGTGCTGATAAGTGGAGCTGCTTGCCCTGCGTGCCACACCTGTACCCTCGCGGTACGTGAACCGGTCGAAAAACGGAAGGGTCTCTCGGCGTTTCTTGAGTTGCATTGTGCGAACAGTGAGTGCCCTGAATCGGTACTTTCTCCTGTGCACACCTCGAGCCGTGTTGGCCTGGTGAGCTTGCGAACGGTGCTAGCGGAAGCCGGGAACATCGGAGTGGGAGCTCCCGCGACAGCTTCGCCGCGAACGTCAAGGCAGTGGTAGCTGCGCGCGCGATTGGCCTCGGGCACGAACAGCTTTCACGTTTTTGCGCCATTCTTGACTTGCCGACGCCGTTACATCACAAGAACTTTATTGCGATCGGCAAGAAAGTTCAGCTGCGGCCATGAAAGCCGTGGAGGAAAACATGGAGAAAGCGACAGTTCACACGAAAGAGATGGTCGGCAGCAGTGATGTTGGGCAAACGTATGCCGAGGGGCAAACGTATGGGCCAGGGGAGTTCTGAACAGCTGTGCTGTGTTTGAGACATATTGCTCTATTTTTGCAAGAAATTTCATGTGCTTTCGTCATGTTTTTGAAAAATACAGATGTTTGAAACTTTCAAAAGCATTTTTCTTCATTTGTACTTTTCAGCATTCTTTATGTTTTGTGCACCACATTTCAGGTACTTCAAATGGTCAGATCTGGATGAAATTTTGCACACAGCCTCTTCAAAGTGTGTAGAATGTCGATATCTATATGCATTTTAAATATCTCTTATACATTTTTTGAAAACATTTAAAATGTTGACTCACAGCACACAGAGTATGTACTTTTGGTATTCCCGATTTTTTTAGAAATATAGAAATTATTTGAATAAATTTTAAGTAGTATCTAACACACTACTTTACCTAACCAGCAAAATAAGCTATTGCAGGCTTCTCTAAACAAAAATTAATTATGAAAAAAGATGTGCACAAAAAGCCCTATATTTTTCTCTTGAGAGGTGTCTCGCACAAAAAGTAATAAATTTACATAAGAACTAAGCACATATTTGGAACCAGCATTACAAACTCAGCCTATGACCAAAGTTTCATAACTTTAGGTATAATATTAAAGAAAAAGTGTTTTCGAGGAGCATCTCCCCTTAATTGTGGAGTATCCGAGAAGCTACCTGACCAATCAAAAAAGTAATTACATTTTTAGAATCAGCAGATCTAAATACACAAACTATGAAAATTTCGTGCAGATCTATTCAGAAAAAAGTTGCCTGTTAAGTGTAGCCTCCCCCCTTAAACCCCCACGATGTACGTACCTGAATGTTTGAGTTTAGCGTCCGGAAGACATCATAGATCTGATCTTTGAACCCTCGGGAAAGCATTTCATCAGCCTCATCCAGCACAAAAATACGGATGTTGTTTGTTCCTGAAATGTAAAAAATGCAGTTTTTCAGCACAGATGACAACAGCATCATAGAGTGCTCATCTTTAACGAGTTTCTTCAACTTATAGATATTCAGAAATAGCAGCTCCCCACTTATAAAAGGACAAACTTGTCAACTGTCATAAAGAACAATGCCACAAAATGTAACAAAAATGAAAGTCGTGCTTCTTTCTCCACAATGCCTGCACTTCAAGGGTCAGACAACACCAGAAAACTTGAGTACATGATGTTAAAACAACTTTTGCTCTGTGAGAAGAGCTTCTGTAAATGAGTTTTGTTGCAATTTATGACTCATTCACCTTAGTAATTTGAAGCTAGGAGATCTGCAGAAACAACTCAAGAAACAGTTTACCTCCAAGTCGATTATTTTTTTTTATACCAGTCTTGATGCTTGCAACTTGACTCCTCTTAACGAAATGAGGTAGATGTTGCACCAGTGATTGAGGTGCCACGGAAAGATTGCCATGGTACCTCACCCATAACCAGCGCCATGATTTTCGACCTTTCGACAACTGCAACCACCTTTAAGTGTGTAGTCCCAGTGCTTTAAGGTCAACTCCACATGCCACAAAAAACATCCAGCAAAAAGACCCCAGCAGTCTCTGGACTTCCTTCTAGTGTCAGTGTCCACACACTGTCTTTTAGAATGAATGCTTACCAACTATAGCACGAAAACCAGAATATAGATCAAATTTAAATACAGCCATAATAAAATGTCGACACCAGTGAAACTGCCTCTATCGTTATCACAATCATTGGCGTCTATTTACTGCCAGCCTTGTGCCATGGGCATTTTTTGCTCTGAATCTACACTCAAACCTCAATGTAACGAACCTCAACTTCCTCAACTTAAGGGGGGACGCAGCTTTGGAATCGCGCAAAATGGCAAAAAAAAAATCGATGTTTTGAAACTCAAGTTTTCAATTTCTGGAACCCCTTTTCCATCTGGTTCCAAAATATCTACACTGAAAACCGTGCAAAAGTGCTTCGGAAAATTCGTTTCACCCACGTAGGTAGCAAAACTTATTCTGAAAATGGCGAGAAAACAGCAATTTTCAAAAAGTTATAGCTTCGCGATGCTTAGGCCGGGAGCCGGCTTCTTGGGCTCATCGGAAAGAGCATTTCTCCGTGTTCAACTTTCCCGCCTCAGCTGGCTCCTCCCTTTAACAACAAGCCCACAAAAAGCAACTGTTTGAAGGTCGTTTTGAGGCCCTTGATTGGCCGTGGTTGCCATGTTGCCTCAGCTCGCCTCGCCATTGGCCCGATGCTCGCTCCGGGAGACGACCCTTGTCTGCTGCTTGTGCGTTGCGAGGACATGGCTCTCGAAAATCTCTACTTCGCGACGTGTTCACCGCTTGATGATCACTTAAGATATAAATACGCTTTAGTTACGAGCAGTAAGTGGATGCGCGATCAGGTTACTACGAGCGGGCGCGCGATCTATGAGCGCCGCGCGTCATCAAAGTCGTCTTTAGCCCTAACTCCGCCGACAGCGAGACTGCGGGCAGGAACGACGCGCTAGCGCATTTGTGGCGACGAGCTTCTTCACAAGCAATGAAGCTGTGAGCGGCAGCACGATCTGATTACTACGAGTGGCGGCGCGGGGTCTACGAGTGCGGCGCGTCATCGGAGTCGGCTTTAGCTTTAACTCCGCTGACAGCGAGACTGCGGGCAAGAATGACGCGCAAGCGCACTCTTGGCGACGTGCCTCTTCACAAGGAATGTATCACATCACTCGCTAGCTCCTCCGAATCAAGTACGGGTATTTTACGCATCGGCAGCGGACAAAAGTCAAGCTCATCACCCCCCCCCCCCCCCTCACTGCCAAGGATTGCTCGGAACAGCGGCTAGCAGTTTCGCGCGTCGTCCTTCAAAAATGCAATGCCAAGCGCAGTGCGCGCCGATTTTTCGTCATCGTAGTCACGCATTTCGCTCATCGTCACCGAACGCCACTGCACTGTCGACGCGGCCGCGCACCCCACGATCATATGGCGTGCTGTCAATAAGCTTTTGTGACGCAATTCAGACGTGTTTGAAGCCGTGCTTGATATCGCCACGAACGTCTATGAATGTTCCGAGGTTAATAAATTGCGCGACCGGCTGTATGATGATGCGTTTCACGGCTAGAGCGGCAAAAGAGCGTATATGAATCAGGGGCACGGATTTTCATATGCCCGTTTCGCGTCATTAATTATACTGCTAAAATTCCTGAGCCACTAGTCTTCTGCCCCTAACTTTGTTATTTGGAAAGAAGGCATAGGCCGCTATGGTAGGCCGCTATGGGAAAGAAGGCATAGGCCGCTATAGGCATAGGCCGCTATTTTTCTGATGCAATAACCCTCTCTCCAAATAAAGAAAAGTTCAGTGAATACTTGTAATCAAGAACTTAATTACAATAATTACAACTTCAGCACAAAAAATATGTGTAATAATTTCAGTATATGGTTTTATTCAATTACAATCTTTTCTGTCATACCTATCACACCACTTCATACAAAAAACTTGGTTTGAAATCCATACTTGTTCTTTGTAAATCATGAAAAGAAGTCAAATATCACAAGACAAACCCTGTGATCAGTTTTTAGGCGTCTTAGAAACATAAAGAAAAGTTGAAACTTTAAACGCAGCTTTTTCAATACTGTTTTTTTGACATTATTCTCAGCCCCTCCACATGGTTCAATGAAGAAATAATATGTCTCTCGTAAAGTATTTGTAGTATCGCTTCAAAATTTTTATGGAAGCACTGTGAGGTCATTCTTAGTGCCTGTGCCAATTTTCATCAATATCCAACGAGAAACAAAAAAGCTAATCGAAAAAAAAAAAAAGCTAATCGAAAAAAAAAAAGCTAGTCGAAAAAATCCTGTCGAAAATTTCGACAGGCTTTTTCTCACAAGTGTGTTTTGGACATTGTGCATTGCTCGTGGAAAGAGTAGCACGGTAATGACTGGACCGATTTTGATTGTTTTTTTTTTCCTGAATCCCTGAACACTGCTTGTCTTAATCTTAAATTTCTGTTCTTTGGCCCCGTTTTTTTTTTTCTGGACGATCATTTGTCCATGCCACTGTTTCTGACAATGTGCGTTGGCAGCCATGAGATCTCTAAAACAAAAAAGAGAACTTATTAAAAAATTCTGAGAGTGCCATAACCCTGTAGCTTTCTTTTGAGTAAACATCAACACCATTCGCAGCTTCCTGGCATGTTTTGTTACAGCGCTAGGCTTTCCACGAGCAGACCATGTAATTGGACCATGTAGCATTATGTAACTTGAGAACTACTGAAGGTATCACGATGAAACTGCATATTTCCTAATTTGAGACACTTATGAGTATGCATGCCAATTAATTGCTGTAGGTCAACAAATAAAGTTTTTTTTTTCCAATGCCACTTCCCCTCCTTAACGAAATATTGGTTATAATGAAGCGAACAAAAATAGCATCGCAATAGATACGGTGCTAAGAATACATATTAACCCCCCCCCCCCCCCCGTTCTCAACTAGTGGTCAATATCAGTTTACAATAGCATTCAAGAAAGCAGTGGTCCAGTTGATCTCATTGTGTAATCTCATCGGAAGATCTACGACTATATAGATCCTTCCCAGGCGTTCAAGTCCTGTTTGCACAAGGAAGCGTTGCACGTATAATGGTGCAGTAACAAAAATAGCAAAAAAGGAGAGCATGCGACATTACCATTACATTACATTTTGCTGCTATAATATTCATCGCTTTGCCCATAAAGCTGATCCCCACCCCCATTTTTATGGCTCAACAGTCTCCATCGAAGAGTGCTTTTTGTTGCCATCGAAGAGTGCTTTTCGTTGTCATCGAAGAGTGCTTTTTGTTGCCAACACTGCAGTCTTTATAGACTAACAGCTTCAGTGCTAAAAGAGTGGAACATTGAGGTCTCCATGCAATCGTCACTTTCACAAGATTAATGCATTATTTTTTTTTAAATGGCGCAAGATTCATAGTTCACACATGGTGCGAGAATCATGCATGAACCGAAATATGATGCAGGGTTTGAATGTGGCTGCGTCCTTTGTGTATCCAACACATGCTGCTCGGTCGAAAAGACTCTGCTGAACTTGTCATCACATGTGCAAATCGCCGTTTAAGCTTAGGAGGTCAGATTCACTGAGAATGGTGCAACTGGCACAGCACTTCCACCGCTGGTTATTTAACCATAAGATGTCGCATTTCAATTTATGAGAACTATACACGTAAGTGTGCTTTTGCTATAATCTATCATCTTTAGTAACACCAGAAAGACAGCAAAATACACCCCTCTTCACTCCAACACTACGGGCCATTCTTGGTCCTTGGGATTATAATTTTAAATGTAATCTCTGAGCTCATGACAAAAATGAAACTACTCACGGAGGGCTTTCCGGCTGATCATGTCGAAGACACGCCCTGGAGTGCCAACAACTACATGGACACCCTTTTCCAGTTTGCGGATGTCCTCTCGCACATTGGTGCCTCCAATACAGGCATGGCACTGGGCACTCATGTAGTCACCAAGTGCGATGACCACCTTCTGAATCTGTTGTGCCAGCTCACGGGTTGGTGCCAAGATCAGTGCCTGGCACTCCTTCAGCGACGTGTCAATCTGCTGGAGGATGGCAATCGAGAAGGTCGCAGTCTTGCCAGTGCCCGACTGGGCCTGGGCTATTACGTCCATCCCTGGACAGAAGGAGGCCACAGTCTTAGCAATGCACGACACTTGTTAGCAGAGCATCAAAGTATCGATGGCATAATATTTCTATGCTACGAAGCAACTGCACCCTGAATAAATCCTATCAGCCTTTGCTGATGGTACCTGGCGGGCTAGTTAGTGATGCATACCTCAGAGGCAGACATATGTGTGTCGAAGGAAGCACTACACTTATCACGAAGATAAGACTGGCCACAGATCCCACCAGACTGAAAAAGAAGCAAAGGGTTGCGCTTCCCTGTACCACAAAGAAAATTCTCCATGAACTAGAAGTGGAGAAACAAGCATTGCATGAGTGAGAATGGTAACAATGTGCCTGCACCGATTTCCACACATTCATGGTTTATTACTGCTTAATTATTTCACTTTACTACTTGGGCAAAAAAGCGTTCAATTTAGCACATAGGCTATCAGCACTTTTAATGCCGGTCACTTGCCACACAGCAACGACCACTGGGTCCACAAACAGAAGCACATGAAGAATGTTAAACCATCAGACAAATGCTTCTCCAATTTTTAATATCAGAGGTAGCTATATATTTATTACATTTGATGCTAACTTGGACACAATGCAACTCAGGTTTGAAGTGTCCATAACCATTTCAATACACTCATCAGCTTTATAGAGAACACACACGACAAGTTCTTAGCATACTACAACTCTGCATGCAATATTAAAATAGCATTCCAAGAACTTTACGATTCTTTCGTGCCAAGTAAATTTCTTGGTTCAATGATCATGCTATAGTGGTCCACATACTGCTAGCTCAATTCAAACCACTTGCCTCTCAAGGGCTCTTGAGGCAGGTACTAACCAAAGCCATCTTTAATGGGTGCAGCATCCTTTGTTATCTGGCAACATTTTGCCCCCCCCCTCCCCCCAGGAAATGCACGCGATACTTGTTACCACTTTTCATCTTCTACAAGGAGCCATGCAGATGGAGCCTGACAATGCCTTTAGATTTGAAGTGCAGAGAATGACTTCACGAGAACAGCCATGAGAATTATACGAAGTATTTTGTACGAAAACAGGTCCGCCGTTTTAAAGCCGCAAAATCATTTACTTTTCGATTTCCTTTACGCGGACATTCAGCTCACTGAAAAGGCCGCCGATACAGCGCTATGGGAAATCAGCACCTTGAAGTACTGGTCACCTGACTTGCCTATGTTACAGTTCATTTCGTAATACCGTGCCTGAAAACGAAGTGAGCCCACAGAGTCGATATTGTTTTCATCCCACACATTTGTAAATTGCAGCACTTCGAATGCATTATTTCCCTTTGTGGCACCCATGGGAAAGTAGTTAAGTTCATTGCTACAAGAGACATTACATGGACGCATCATTTGCTACAAAATGTACCTAGGGCTAGTTTCGCCCGCCAGCAAAGTACGCGCCACAATACATTATTAAAATAACCTTGAGATGCGACTTCACATGTGAAAACTACAACTGAGACGCAACCATGTGAGAAAACCAAACTTTGGAACAGCCCCACCGTTCACCACAATAATAGAGTTTTTTTGTTCGATGAATCCAAAAGCACACAACATCCATTTTATTACATCTTATAACACATAAAATATTTTATTATTATAAGCAGTTTGAGTTTTGGCAATTCACTATGTAATTGGGTCTCTTGATGTCATCGGGCTCGTTTCCAAAATGTCCCACTGGTTATGCTGTGTTACCAAAATTGGCCTAAAAAATTATTTGCCTTTATAGATGCACATTTAAATACTAGAGATTCCTAACTCATGTGTGTCATGGCCTTGACAGAGGACACCTGTAACAGCCCCCTGCATGATGCCAGGACAAGATTCATGTAGCATCATTTGCTATCAGACGTGCAAATGACAAGGCACAGCCCGACTATTAGTTGATGCAGTTATTTAACAGAAATTGTTCATATGTCCTGCTTCTACCGGTCACTACGAGTATCAGACATTAAAGGCTTTCGCCATAATAAGCTAAGACTGACAGCAACGTCAAACCAATTAGTGGCTTTATACAACTTTATTGGGGAGCTCATAGTCGCCATCAATCATTGCAGTCGTATGACCGTGGCTTCGTATGCAGCAGCTAGCGGAAAATGGTCTCTCCGTTTTCAATTCGCGTGCATTAGCCCTGCACAAGCCTTCAAAACTACCGTAAAATTCGAAATACAGATCAAATTAAAAAAAAAATGCAACGAAAAGTCTACGCTCGTCTTATATGCCGGTCATTTACAGAAAAAAAAAAAAATGCGGAAGTCAACAATAATGGGCAGCTGAAGTCGAAAGCCTCCACTGCACTCGCATCAGCAGTGGCGCCGTTAGGCAAGGCCTACAGTGTTCATGCAATGCTATTTTGCCTCCGTTATTTACTGTTAGTCGTCTGTTTTCTTTTTTCTATTTTCTTCAGAAATGAGTGGCAGTCGACAGCAACTTACGATAGGCTCGAAGGAAAAGTTATCGAATATGCCGAAGCGCACGGCAACCTAGTGGCATAACGAGAATTCGGTGCATCAGAGAAAAGCGCCTAATACTGGAGGAGCCAAAAGCAGCAAATCACACGGTAGAGCAAAAAATTTTGTATTCATATATATATATTTCGTGGACAGACTGCAGTGCACACCGAGTTGGAAACGCTACTCGCCAAATTCGCCTGGGAGCTGCATGCAAGGTTGGCAACGAACGCACCTGCGCAAAAGCTCTCAAGATGGCGCGCGACTCTAGGCTCACGAGGGTGCAATTCAAGGGATCCTTGGCGTGAGTACGCCAATTTTCAAGCGGAAGGTCTTTGCACTGAGGCGGCGTACTTCTGTCTTTCCGCAAAGGCTGCATCGGTAACGCATTGAATGGAACAGAGGACAATGAACTCTGGGACGTTAGTAGTGAAAAAAACAAAAAAACACGTCGGACTCAACTTCAGACAAGTCTTAGTGACAGCACTTTGTGGCTTTCTGAACAAACCAAATGAATGTACAAACCAAATGAAATGCACCCCCACAGCTGGTTGTGTCGCGTATTTACCAAGGTAAGGGTGAGCCGCGATAAGTTCAGATTTTTTAAGATTTCTTTTTCAGAGATTCAAACTATGAGGGCTCAATCTATATTTCAGTTTTTAAGGGGGGAGGCTACTACGAAAGCCAAACTTTTTTATTTTTCAAGCTATCGTAATGAAGACTTCAGGATATATGCGCTACATTAAACGTAGAAAGTTTCATAAAATTGTGTTCAGGGGTTCTAGAGTTACTGAGGTCTAACTGGGTGGCTCACTTGAGTGCCTGAGGAAGAGCCAGAAGAAATCCCAGGACAGACCAGAAGGCTGAAATTATTTGCGGTCATCAATAGATAGATATCCTGGGGTGTAAGAGCAGTTTTTCTAACATCCCCTCCAAAAAAAATTTTATTCAACTTCAAATTTGATGCAGCCATTAAGTATGACATTTATAAAAATTAATTGTTCCTTAATAATTAATAGCACTGATATTAAAAAAAGAAACTTGTTACACCCTCCTGCCAAAGTCATCCAGGAGCAGAATGTAGACACAGCACATAAATCCGATAAGCAGTTCCCGAGTTATCGCTAAAACTAGCTAAAAGATCCATTTTGAGAAAACGGGCTTTGAAAGTTCAGCACATGTGTTTTCCTCAAGAAGCTCCAGCAGAGTAGCTTGAAAGGCCCTTGTGCACTCTTCTTTTGTCGTCCCTCCATCTTCTCAAAGTGCCATTTGGAATTTTTTTTTTTTTCAGACGTACGGCATCTCTTTCAAGAGCCGGCTGCATCAGTCTGCATTTATTCAAATTTTTTCTGCGGCACTGCCGTAGATTCGAATTCAGTGCCAACGGAGTCTTGCATTCGCAAGGATTTCTTCCTCAGTTAGGAAATGCCTCCGCAAATGAAGGGTCGACGGTCCATGCACGCTATTGGCCCCGATGCAGACAAAGTGCTCTGTCTGGCGATGTTAGCAGCACTCAGTGTCACGCTCGACGGCACCGATTAAGAGCACGTGCTGGATCCGGCGATCTCAGACACGCTCGATGCATTCCCGGCTCTAGGTACAACACGGTTTGTCGGATTATGGACTGGTGGCAGCTGACAGAACAGTTTCGCCACTGCAAGCATTTTCGCATTGGGCAAAAAAAAGAAGAGATACCGATCGAAAATACAGCGCAAGACAAAAAGCTGCTCGTAAGCAAACATCTATCGAGACGTACGGAGTAGAGATGCAACAACGAGACGAGCGCGCCGGACGTGCCATCGCCAGGGGGACCGCCCCCTCTTCCAGGGCAGCAGCCAATGGCGGGCGTGCTTGTGCCCGCAAGATATCAATGAGCTGCTTAGCCAATCGGCACCCCACGTTGCATCCTGGGGGAACACTGATAGCATCTGACCTGTGCCGTTGACATCATTTTGAAAGGCGGCAAACGAGAGAGAAAGAGTTCACGGTCAAAACAAGACCGAGATGGCGTGGGACAGTAGCATAGTCTCGGAATGGCGCATGCGCAAAGTTAGGTTTGATTCTGGCTTTTGCGCATGTTTTGGGCGTTGCGGCAACCTCGAAAAGAGCATTAGTTTTTTTTTTTTGCACTTTGGGGTTGAATTAGGCACTGATATTTACAGAATAGCTAATTTATGCGAAATACAAACTAACAATATGGTTTTTCAAGAACAGAATTTTCGGCAATTTTTCGGTTTTCAAGGGCCTCATCCCCCCCCCCCCCCCCCCTCCTAAGGCAAGTTGTGTGTTGTTCGTTCTATTCGCATCAGTCGTGGTTTCGTACACAGAGTTTGCTGAAAGCAGCGTTGCTTTGACTAGGTGAACATAGCACCAGCACGCACTTTTAGAGCTCTGCAAGCTTCATTGCCACCATAAATGATCGTGTCGAGAACGATCGCAGTTTCACCCACAGCTAGCAGTGGTGGAAAACGATAACCACAGTTATGACAGTGTGTGCGCTGATTGTGCATGTACTTGCGCAGCTT